GGCAGCTGCCGAGGCTACTTTTGAGACTCCCTGGGGACTTGGGGGTTGTCTTGAGAATGTGGGGACTCCCTGAAGACATTGGGGACACTTTGGAGGACCCCCGAGGACTTGAGGGGGTCTCACCCTGGGGGTGGGTGTTGAGGGCACTTTGGGGGACCCTTGGGCAGCACTGGGGGACTTGGGGGGGTGTCTTTGAAACACTTTGGGAACCCCCGTGGGAGACTTTGGGGCTGCTGTGGGGGGGCCTTGGGGACCCCCTGAGTGGCACTGAGGGCATGTGGGGGGCACTTGGGTGCTGTTGAGCGCGTCGCTTGGGGGCAATTGGGGGCCAGTGGGGTGTCTATGGGCACTGGGGGGGGCCCTGTGGGCACTACGGGGTCAGTGGGGGTCCCTGTGGGCACTGGAGGGTCATTGGGGTCCCTGGGGGCACTGTGGGGTCAGTGGGTCCCTGTGGGTACTGGCGGGTCAGTGGGGGCACTGTGGGCACTGTAGGGTCAATGGGGGTCCCTGGGGGCACTGTAGGGTCAGTGAGTCCCTGTGGGTACTAGGGGGGGGTCAGTGGGGGTCCCTGTGAGCATTTGGGGGGTTCCCTGTGTGTTCTGTGGGGGTCCCTGTGGGGTCCCTGGAGTCCCTGGGGGTCCGTGGGGGTCCCTGTGGGGTCCCTGGGGGTCAGGGGGTCCCTGTGTGTTCTGTGGGGGTCTCTGGGTCCCTGTGTGTTCCGTGGGGGTCCCTGTGTGTTCCGTGGGGGTCCCTGGGTCCCTGTGTGTTCCGTGGGGGTCCCTGTGGGGTCCCTGGGGGTCTCTGGGGGTCCCAGTGTGGTCCGTGGGGTCCCTGTGAGTCAGGGGGTCCCTGTGTGTTCCGTGGGGGTCCCTGTGGGGTCCCTGGGGGTCAGGGGGTCCCTGTGTGTTCCCTGGGGGTCCCACACCTCCCCTTCACCCCCCCAGCCCCCGTGCAGCAGCAGCGAGGCGTCGGCGCGGGAGGAGGAGGAGGAGGAGGAGGACGAGGAGGAAGATGAGGAGGACGAGGACGAGGACGGGACGGGCTCCGAGGCCTCCGAGGAGGGGCCGGGGGGGCCCCCCCGGCAGCTGAACGGGGAGGGCCGGGGGGGGCCTCTCCTGCGCCCCTGGGCAGCCCCCGCCCCAGAGAGGCCCCCAGCCTGCAAGGCCTGCGCCCTGGGAGGGCGGCGCTACAGACCGGGCACCCTCAAAAGGAGGGCTCTTCGGGCAGCCCGACAGAGCAGGTACCGGGGGCTGGGGGTCAGTTTGGGGGCTGGGGCGGTTTGGAGGAGCTGGGGGCATTTATAGGGGCTGGGAGAAGTTGGGGGGGTGAGGGGCATTTATAGGGACTGGGGGCAGTTTGGGAGGGCTGGGGTGCAGTTCCAGGGGTGCTGGGGGGCATTTATAGAGCTGGGGACAGTTTGGGGGGGCTGGGGGCATTTATAGAGGAGCTGGGGGCAGTTTGGGGGCTGAGGGGCAGTTTGGGGGCTGGAGGGCATTTATAGGGTTTGGGGGCAGTTTGGAGGGGCTGGGGGCAGTCACAGGGGGCCTGGGGTGCAGTTTGGGGGCCTGGGGGCAGTCTGGGGGCTGGGGGCCAGTTTTAGGGGGCTGGGGATGGTGGGAGGGGCTGGAGGGCATTTATAGGGGCTGAGGGCAGTTATAGGGTCTGGGGGGCAGTTAGAGGGGACTGGGCAGTTATAGAGAGTGGGGGCAGTTATAGGGTCTGGGGGCAGTTATAGGGTCTGGGGGCAGTTTGGGGGTTGGGGCAGTTATGGGGTCTGGGGGCAGTTTGGGGGACTGAGGGCAGTTATAGGGTCTGGGGGTAGTTTGGGGGCTGGGGCAGTTATGGGGTCTGGGGGGCAGTTATAGGGTCTGGGGGGCAGTTTGGGGGACTGAGGGCAGTTATAGGGTCTGGGGGGTAGTTTGGGGGGGCTGGGGGCAGTTCAGGGTTTGGGAGGTCAGGTCATGGTCTGTGGGGTCACTTTGGGGTCAGTTTGGGGTCAGTTGAGACTCCGTGGGGTCAGTGTGGGATTTCAGGCTCTATGGGGTCACTGTGGGGTCAGTTTGGGGTCTGTGGGGTCACTTTGGGGTTAGTTGAGACTCTGTGGAGTCAGTGTGGGATTTCAGGCTCTGTGGGGTCAGTTTGGTCTCTCTGGGGTCAATGTGGGGTCAGTGTGGGCTTTGTGGGTTCAGCATGGGGTCAGTGGTGTCTCTGTGGGGTCAGTGTGGTGTCTGTGGGGTCTATTTGGTCTCTGTGGGGTCTCTGAGGGGTCAGTTTGGTCTCTGGTGTCTGTGGGGTCAGTGTGGGCTCTGTGGGGTCAGTGGGGTCAGTGTGGGGTCAGTGGGCTCAGTGTGGGCTCTGTGGGGTCAGTGTGGGCTCTGTGGGGTCAGTAGGGTCAGTGTGGGCTCTGTGGGGTCAGTGTGGGCTCAGTGTGAGGTCAGTGGGCTCTGTGGGCTCTGAGGGGTCAGTGGGCTCAGTGTGGGCTCTGTGGGCTCAGTTCGGGCTCTGTGGGGTCAGTGTGGGCTCAGTGTGAGGTCAGTGGGCTCTGAGGGGTCAGTGTGGGCTCTGTGGGGTCAGTGTGGGCTCAGTGTGAGGTCAGTGGGCTCTGAGGGGTCAGTGTGGGCTCTGTGGGGTCAGTGTGGGCTCAGTGTGAGGTCAGTGGGCTCTGTGGGCTCTGAGGGGTCAGTGTGGGCTCTGAGGGGTCAGTGTGGGGTCAGTGGGCTCAGTGTGGGCTCTGAGGGGTCAGTGTGGGCTCTGTGGGGTCAGTGTGGGCTCTGTGGGCTCTGAGGGGTCAGTGTGGGGTCAGTGGGCTCAGTGGGGTCAGTGTGGGGTCAGTGTGCTCAGTTTGGGCTCTGAGGGGTCAGTGTGGGGTCAGTGGGCTCAGTGGGGTCAGTGTGGGGTCAGTGTGGGCTCTGTAGGGTCAGTGTGGGCTCTGAGGGCTCGGTTTGGGCTCTGTGGGGTCAGTGTGGTGTCAGGGGGCTGAGCTGTCCCCGCGGTGTCCCCGCGGTGTCCCCGCAGTGTCCCCGGCTCTGGCGGGGGCCGAGCCGTCCGTGCCGCTGTCCCCGGGCCGGCCGGGCCCGCAGCCCACCGAGGGGGGGCCCTTCAGCTGCACGTGAGTGGCACTGTCCCCTGGTGTCCCCATGGACCCCTGGGTGTCCCCTGTGTGTCCCCATGGCCCCCTGGGTGTCCCCATGTCCCCCAGTGTCCCCCGGTGTCCCCCAGTGTCCCCATGGCCCCCTGTGTGTCCCCATGGCCCCCTGGGTGTCCCCCAGTGTCTCCTGGTGTCCCCTTGTCCCCCAAGTGTCCCCCAGTGTCTCCTGGTGTCCCCATGTCCCCCAAGTGTCCCCCAGTGTTCCCTGGTGTCCCCATGTCCCCCTGTGTGTCCCCTGTGTATCCCCTGGTGTCCCCATGTCCCCCTGGGTGTCCCCATGTCCCCCAAGTGTCCCCCAGTGTCCCCTGGTGTCCAGATGTTCCCCTGGTGTATCCCCTGTGTATCCCCTGGTGTCCCCATGTCCCCCTGGGTGTCCCCATGTCCCCAGTGGTGTCCCCCAGTGTCCCCTGGTGTCCCTGTGTCTGTGTGTCCCCAGTGGTGTCCCTGTGTTACTGTCCCCCTGCCCCTGTGTAACTGTCCCCATGTCCCCGTGTCTGTGTCCCCCAGTGTCCCCGTGTGACACTCCCAATGTCCCTGTGTCTCTGTCCCCCGTGGTGTCCCCTATGGTGTCCCTGTGTGACTGTGCCTGTGTCCCCATATCTATGTGTCCCCTGTGGTCCCTGTGTGACTGCCCCGTGTCCCTGTGTCTGTGTCCCCCATGTCCCCCTGGTGTTCCCATGTGACACTCCCCATGTCTCTGTGTCTGTGTCCCCCCTGGTGTCCCCATGTCCCGGTGTGACACTCCCTGTGTGTCCCTGTCCCCCCGGTGTCCCCATGTCCCCATGTGACACTCCATGTGTGACACTGTGTGTGTGTCCCTGTGTCTGTGTCCCCCCTGGTGTCCCCATGTCCCCATGTGACACTCCATGTGTGACACTGTGTCTCTGTCCCCCCATGTCCCTGTGTCTGTGTCCCCCCCAGTGTCCCCATGTCCCTGTGTGACACTCCCTGTGTGTCCCTGTCCCCCCGGTGTCCCCATGTGACACTCCATGTGTGACACCCCCTGTGTGTCCCTGTGTCTCTGTCCCCATGTCCCCGTGTGACACTGTGGTGTGACACTCCCTGTGTCTGTGTCCCCCCCATGTCCCCGTGTGACACTGTGGTGTGACACTGTGTGTGTGTCCCTGTGTCTGTGTCCCCCCGGTGTCCCCATGTCCCTGTGTGACACTCCCTGTGTGTCCCTGTCCCCCCGGTGTCCCCATGTCCCCATGTGACACTCCCTGTGTGTCCCTGTCCCCCCGGTGTCCCCATGTCCCCATGTGACACTCCACGTGTGACACCCCCTGTGTGTCCCTGTGTCTGTGTCCCCGTGTGACACTGTGGTGTGACACTGTGGTGTGACACTGTGATGTGACAGTGTTGTGACACTGTGGTGTGACACTGTGGTGTGACACTGTGTTGTGACACTGTGTTGTGACACTGTGGTGTGACACTGTGTTGTGACACCCCGTGTGTCACAGGGCGGGCCGCAAGGACAAGGCAGTGGATCCCGTGGAGTGGTCGGTGCGGGACGTGGTCGAGTATTTCACCGAGGCCGGGTTTGCTGAGCAGGCAGGGGCCTTCCAGGAGCAGGTGGGACCCCAAACTGTCCCCTCTGTCCCCACTGTCCCCTCTGGGGGCCTTCCAGGAGCAGGTGGGACCCCAAACTGTCCCCTCTGTCCCCACTGTCCCCTCTGGGGGCTTCCCAGGAGCAGGTGGGACCCAGATCCCAAAACTGTCCCCTCTGAGAGCCTTCCAGGAGCAGGTGGGACCCCAAAACTGTCCCCTGCCATCCCTGTCACCCCCAGTATCCCCTCTGTCCCCTGCCAGTGCCCTGTCACCCCCTCTGTCCCCTCTGGGGGCCTTCCAGGAGCAGGTGGGACCCCAAACCTGGGACACCCCCAAACCGTGTCCCCTGTGTCCCCTCTGGGTGCCCTGTCACCCCCAGTGTCCCCTCTGTCCCCTGTGAATGTCCTTCCAGGTGCAGGTGGGGACCCTGGGACCCCAACCCTGGGTCCCCTCTGTGTCCCCAGGGTGTCCCCCCACCCCATTTCCCCCCTGGACACCTCCCCCTCGAGCCACCCCAGCGTCCCTCCCGCTCTGTCCCCCTTTGCTGTTCCCCTGGGGTGTCCCCAGTGTCCCTGGGGTGTCCCCAATGTCCCCAAGGGTGTCCCCAGTGTCCCCAATGCCCCTGGGGTGTCCCCCCTGTCCCCTGTCCCCAGGAGATCGACGGGAAGTCGCTGCTGCTGATGCAGAGGGCCGATGTGCTCACGGGGCTCTCCATCCACCTGGGCCCCTTTGCTGTGCCCCTGGGGTGTCCCCCCTGTCCCCTGGGGTGTCCCCAATGCCCCTGGGGTGTCCCTGGGGTGTCCCCAATGTCCCTGGGGTGTCCCCAGTGTCCCCAATGTCCCCTGTCCCCAGGAGATCGACGGGAAGTCGCTGCTGCTGATGCAGAGGGCCGATGTGCTCACGGGGCTCTCCATCCGCCTGGGCCCCTTTGCTGTGCCCCTGGGGTGTCCCCAATGCCCCTGGGGTGTCCCCAATGTCCCTGGGGTGTCCCCAGTGTCCCCAATGTCCCTGGGGTGTCCCCCCTGTCCCCTGGGGTGTCCCCAATGTCCCCTGTCCCCAGGAGATCGACGGGAAGTCGCTGCTGCTGATGCAGAGGGCCGATGTGCTCACGGGGCTCTCCATCCGCCTGGGCCCCTTTGCTGTGCCCCTGGGGTGTCCCCAATGTCCCTGGGGTGTCCCTGGGGTGTCCCCAATGTCCCTGGGGTGTCCCCAGTGTCCCCAATGTCCCCTGTCCCCAGGAGATCGACGGGAAGTCGCTGCTGCTGATGCAGAGGGCCGATGTGCTCACGGGGCTCTCCATCCGCCTGGGCCCAGCGCTCAAGATCTACGAGTACCACGTGAAGCTGCTCCAGCGCAGCCACTTCCAGGAGGAGGAGCCCCCCCCGGAGCCCTTCCCGGCCTGAGCCCCCCTGCCCGGGACCCCCTGAACCGGGGGACACCCCCCAAAACAGGGGGAGACCCCCCCAAAACTCAGGGGAGACCCCAGGATCCAGGAGGGCTCCTCCCCTCCCAGCTGCTGCACAGAGACTTTGGGGGTGGGGGTCTCACCTCTCTTTGGGGGTCCCACCTCTATTGGGGGTCCCACCTCTCTTTGGGGGTTCCCACCTCTCTTTGAGAGTCTCAGCTCTATTTAGGGGGTCCCACCACTGTTTTGGGGCTCGCTCTTTGCTTAGACGGTCTCAGCTCTCTTTAGGGGCCCACCCTTCTTAAGGGGGGTTTCACCTCTATTTGGGGGTCTCACCTCTCTTTAGGGGTCTCACATCTCTCTGGGGTCCCACCCCTCTTAGGGGGTCTCACATGTATTTGGGGGTCTCACCTCTCTCTTGGCAGGGTCCACCACTCTGGGGGTCTCACCTCTCTTTGGGGGTCCCATCTCTATTCTGGGTGTCTTCCCCTGCTCTCTGGGGTCCCATCTTTGGGGGCTCCCTCCCTCTTGGGGGGTCCCACGCCTCTTTTGAGTGTCTCCTTTGGGGGTCTCACCTCTCTTTAGAGGGTCCCAGCCCTCCTTTGAGGGTCCCACCCCTCTTTAGGGGGTCTCTCCTTCGGGGAGTCAGTTCTCTAGGGGGTCCCCCTTTCCAGAAGTCCCACTATTTTGGGGGATCCTGCTTCTCTTTTGGAGGTCACTTCTCCTTTGGGAGTCCCACCCCTCTTTTTGAGGGAGTCACTTCTGGGGGAGTCGCCCCTCTTTTAGAGGCACCTCTTTTGATGGGTCCATCCCCTCTTTAGAGGTCACCTCTTTTGAGGGTCCATCCCCTCTTTTTGAAGTCGCCCCTCTTTTGAAGTCACCCCTCTTTGAGAGCCCCCTTTTAGGGATCCCCCTTTTCTTTGGGGGGATTTTTATGGGGAGGGGTTGGGTTTGGGGGCTCTGCCGGAGATGTTTAACCTTCCCAGCCTGTGCCCCTCCCCCAAGTTGGGGTGCAGCCCCACCCTTTGGCCACGGAGGGGGAGGGAGGGCCCCCAGCCCCCGCGGTCTGTGCCCCTCCCCCTCCCCGGGCCTGGCTCGTTTGGGTTTTTAAATAAAAATGGAAAGAAATAAAAACAGCCAGAATTGGGGGGATTGGGAGGGTTGAGGGTGACCCCCTCATTTAGAGGGTCCTGGCCTCTTAAACCCCCAAAAGGCAAACCCGGGGGGTTGGAGTATAATCAGGGAGTCTTGGAGTTTGGGGGTCCCCGAGGTGGGGGGGTCTGGGGGGGTCATAAAGGGGGTCACGGGGAGGTTGAGGAGGGATGGGAGGGTCGGGAGGCTCCCAAGAGGGAGGAGGGTCTGGGAAAGGGGGGGTCCATGGGGGAGTCAGAGGGGAGTTCAAGGGGGATCGGGGGTTTGGGGGTCCTCGAGGTGCAGGGGCCATGGGGGAGTCGGGGCGGTCATGGAGAGGGTCACGGGGGTCATGGAGGGGGTTTCGGGGGGATGGGGAGATCTGGGTGGGCTCCCAAAGAGGGGGTGTCTGAGAAGGGGAGTGGTCTAGAGAGGAGTCATCAAGGGGATCCCAGGGGTGTTAGGGGGTCCTCAGAGTGCTGGGGCCATGGGGAGGGGTCACAGGGAGGTGTCTAAGGGGGGCTGTGGAGGTCTGGGGGCTATGGAGGGGGCATGGGGGGTCTAGGGGGGATGGCCGAGGTCTGGGGGGATTTGGGGAGGGCCGAGGTGGGGGGGTCTCTGGGGTCGGACAGCGCGCTGCGCATGCGCGACACCTCCAGCCCGCCAGGGGGCGCTCGTAGCGATGGAGAGACCCCCCCCCCTTCCCTTTTCCAGCCCTTCCCCCAACCCTGAAACGAGCCGGAGCTGCCCCAAAACAGCCCTAAACCCGCCGGAAACGGCTCTATTTGACCCCCCCTCCCCATCCTGTCCCGGTCGGGCCCCCCCGGTTCTTTCCCCTCCCAAAGGAGGGAGAAAAACCCCCCCGACCCCTCCCGTTCCCCCCGCGCATGCGCCAGGCCTACCGGGGCAAGATGGCGGCGCCCACGGCGGGCCCGCCCTTTTCTCTACGGCGGCCGGAGAGGCCCAGAAAGCGTCCCCTTCGCGCGCGGCCCCCGCTGAGGAGGTGATTTTGGGGTCAAAAAAATCCCCCCGGAGCTCATCCTGGAGCGGGATCGTCATCCAGCCTCCCTTTGGGGAGAAACAGCCTCTAAGTACCCCAAATTTGTGAGAGACAGCCCCTAAATATCCCAAATTTACAAGAAACAGCCCCTAAATATCCCCAATTTACAAGAAACAGCCCCTAAATATCCCCAATTTACAAGAAACAGCCCCTAAATATCCAAAATTTGTGAGAAACAGCCCCTAAATACCCCAAATTTGTGAGAAACGGCCTCTAAATATCCCCAATTTGGGGTGCAAGTTCGAGTTTTATTTCAGAACATCCCATACATATTAATTATATCACGTGCATACACATTTACAGCTGTTCCAGGTATTCACCACACATTTATTTTCACAGCTTGGACTAATTGGTTACCTCGACCTCAAGTTATAAATTAAAAATATATATAATTTATATAAATTAAGTCATAAATTAAAAAAAAAAGGGGACCATGGTGCTGTTTGACCTGACCTGGGTTGGACATAATTCTTGTTTTGGAAGGACAGGGAGGATGGGGATCTGTTTAATGTCTTTATGGGGGTGCAGTGAAGTTTTACAACCCATTTGTTTTTCTTCCCTTCTGGGTTCCCTTCACCCATTGGACACAAATTACAACCAGCATTGATTACAACCAGTGTTTATTACACTTTTCCTCTTTGTTCCCGTGTGCTCCTCACAGGTTAAAACCAACGGGAATTTCCCGTTCGTTTGAGCGACCTTTGATTGGATTCATTTCTTAACGGGACAAGCTCTCGTTGATCGCAGTTCTGAGGCACCTGAGCTCATTTCGGGTGGGTGGGGACACGGCTCGGTCTGTCAGTGCCTGTGGGGAAATCACACCCACATCCCTGTCTGATCCACACCCACATCCCTGTCTGACCCACACCCACACCCGTGTCTGACCCACACCCACATCCCTGTCTGACCCACACCCACATCCCTGTCTGATCCGTGTCTGATCCACACCCCACATTCTATGATTCCATGATTCCACGATTCTGTGATCCCCTGATTCCACAATTCCATGATTCCATGATTCTGTGATTCCACGATTCCCTGATTCAGTGATTCCCTGATCCCCTGATTCCATGATTCTGTGATTCCATGATTCTGTGATTCCCTGATCCCCTGATCCCCTGATTCCATGATTCTGATTCCATTATTCTATGACTCCATGATTCCCTGATTCCCTGATTCCACAATTCTCTGATTCCATGATTCTGTGATTCCCTGATCCCATGATTCCATGATTCTGTGATTTCATTATTCCATGACTCCATGATTCCATGAATCCATGATTCCGTGATTCCATGATTCTGTGATTCCCTGATTCCACAATTCCCTGATTCCATGATTCTGTGATTCCCTGATCCCCTGATTCCATGATTCCATGATTCTGTGATTTCATTATTCCATGATTCCATGATTCTGTGATTCCCTGATCCCCTGATTCCATGATTCCATGATTCTGTGATTCCATTATTCCATGATTCCGTGATTCCCTGATTCCACGATTCCCTGATTCTCCGCCCCCAGTCTCTCACTGCCCCCCTGTCCGAGGCTCCTGAGCTGATTTCTGGTGGGTGGGTCCAGGGGGTCACTCCCTGTCGGTCCCCGAGGTTCCCCCACATCCCACACCCCAAAATAACTGTGATCCTGAAATAAAACTGTGATCCAGAAATAAAACTGTGATCCTGAAATAAAACTGCGATCCCGAAAAAAACCTGTGATCCTGAAAACAAAACCAGCTGAGAAACCAAACCCTTTGGCTGATCAGAGCACAATCTTTATCCAAGTTCAAATCCCTGGTTTCTGTTTCTAACCCTGTTTTGTTTCCCACTCCATGGCTCTGATCATGCCATGGGGGACAATTCGGGGGGGTTGGAGCGGTTTAGGGGGGTGGGGGAAATTTGGGCGCTTTGAGGCCTTTGGGGCAGTTGTGGCTGGTTCAGGGGGGCTGGGGTGGTTTAGGGGGGTTTTGGGGCAATTTAGGGGATGAGGGACAGTTTAGAGGTGTTGGGGGCAGCTTGGGGGTGTCAGGGCAAGGTGGGACTCATTTAGGGTGGTGGGGGCAATTTGGAGGCTTTAAGAGGCATTTGGGGCAGTCGTGGCTGGTTAAGAGGACTGGAGTGGTTCAGGGGGCTGGGGTGGTTTAGGGGGCTTTGGAGCCGTCCCTTCAGGGGCTGGGGGACAATTCTCGGGGGTTGGAGTGGTTTAGGGCGGTGGGGCAATTTGGGGCACTTTAGGGGACGAGGGGACAGCTTAGGGGGGCGGAGCGGTTTGGAGGGAAAAATTTGGGGGAGCTTTAAGCGACATTTGGGGCATTTTTGGCTGCTTTAGGGGGATTTGTGGCTCTCTCTCTGTGGGCTCTTCGGCCAAGATGGCGGCGCCCGTCGCTCCAGAGCCAAGATGGCGTCTCCCTCAGTGCGTTACGGGCGCCGCCATCTTGGTACGGCGGCCGCGGCGGGCCTCTGCGGCGCCGGCCGCGCAGAGCGCGGCGCGGGGCGGGAAGATGGCGGCGTCCTCGCTGGAGCAGAAGCTGTCGCGGCTCGAGGCGAAGCTCAAGCAGGAGAACCGCGAGGCCCGCAGGAGGATCGACCTCAACCTCGACATCGGGCCCGCCCGCGCCCGCCCCAGTACGGCGGCACCGGGGGAGGGGGAACCGGCCGGAGAAACGAGCGGGGGGAGGCCGCGGTGAGAGGGGGGAGACCCTGAGGGCTGAGGGGGTGGTGGGGGCTCAGGGGGTTTGGGGGCTGAGGGGTGGGGGCGAGGGGGTGTTGGGGCGGTTGAGGGGTTTGGGAGGACGGGGGTTTGGGGGCGATTGTGGCTTGTTTTGGGTGGGGGCAGCTTGGGGGATCGGGGGTCTTGGGGGATCAGGGCGTTTGGGGCGGTTGTGGCTCGTTTGGGGGATTTGGGGCAGTTTGGGGGCTAGGGCAGTTTGGGGGCATCGGGGCGTTTGGGGAAATTGTGGCTTGTTTTGGGGGGGTTAGCAGTTTGGGGGCTTGAGGGCAGTTTGGGGGATCAGCGTTTGGGCAATTGTGGATTGTTTTGGGGGCTGGGGTGATTTAGGGGGACCGGAATGGTTTAGGGGAGGTTTGAGGCTGGTTTAGGGGCCTGGGGTGATTTAGGGGCTGAGGGCTGTTTAGGGGCCAGAATGATTTAGAGGGTTTGAGGTGGGTTTAGGCTCTGGGGGCGATTTAGGGGCTTGGGGGGCTTGAGGACATGTGGGGCACTTGGGGCTTGTTTAGGGGGCTGGGGTGGTCTTAGGGGTTGGAGGTGGTTTAGGGGTTGGGAGCAGCTTAGGGTTTTGGGGCCGGTTTAGGGCTGGGGAAGGTTTAGGGGTTTGAGGGCAGTTCAGGGGTTTAGGGAAGTGTTTGGGGGGTTTGGGGCAGTTTAGGGGGTTTGGGGCAGTTTAGAGGGCTCTGGGTGGCTTTAGGGAGCTCTGGGACAGTTTAGGGGGCTTTGGGGCAGTTTAGGTTTTGGGGGCAGTTTAGGGGGCTTGGGGGCGGTTTAGGGTATCTGGGGCAGTTGGGGGACTTAGGGGCAGTTTGGGGTTGTTTGGGGGTTGGAAGCACTTTGGGTGGTTTTGGGGTGATTTTGGGGTGTTTGGGGAATTTGGGGATTTGGGGGCAGTTTGGGAGGATTTGGGGGCAGTTTGGGTGGATTTGAGGGCAGTTTGGGGTTGTTTGGGAGGTTGGAGGCACTTTGGGTGGTTTTAGGGTGATTTTGGGGTGTTTGGGGATTTGGGGATTTGGAGGCGGTTTGGGTGGATTTGGGGTGTTTGGGGCACCTTGGGGTTGTCTGGGGGATTGGGGCAGTTTGGGTGATTTGGGGTGGATTGGGGGCAGTTTGGGTGGATTTGGGTGGATTTGGTGTGGATTTAGGGGCAGTTTAGGTGGATTTGGGGTGATTTTGAGGCAGCTTGGGTGGATTTAGGTGATTTTGGGGTGATTTTGGGGCAGTTTAGGTGGATTTGGGTATTTTTGGGGCAGCTTGGGTGGATTTGGGTGATTTTGGGTGATTTTGGGGGCAGTTTGGTGGATTTGGGGTGATTTTGGGGCAGTTTGGGAGGGTTTGGGTGATTTTGGGGGTTGGGGGCAGTTTGGGGGGGTTGAATTGGGGCTCGGGGCTCCTGGGGTGGGAGGAGGAGATTGGGGCTGACTGGAGGGGCACTGGGGCTGTACTGGGAGCACTGGGGGTGACTGGGGGGCACTGGGGCTGTACTGGGAGCACTGGGGTGACTGGGGGCACTGAGGCCGTACTGGGAGCACTGGGGGTGACTGGGGAGCACTGGAGCTGTACTGGGAGCACTGGGGTGACTTGGGGGGCCAAGGGCTGTACTGGGAGCACTGGAGCTGTACTGGGGTGACTGGGGGCCCTGAGCTGTACTGGGGGTGACTGGGGGCACTGGGGCTGTACTGGGAGCACTGGGGCTGTACTGGGGGTGACTGGGGGGCCCTGGGGCTGTACTGGGAGGGCACTAGCACACTGGCCCAGCCCAGCAATGGGGCCCTGGGGTTTTTGGGGGTCTCCCCAAATCAGCCCCCCAGGACCCTTTTTGGGGGTCCCACCCCCAGGTAGGACCATTTTGGGGATGTGCCTCCCCAGTGCCCACTGCCAGCCTGTCCCTCCCATCCCAAGGATAATCCCGGATTTTCCAGCCCCAACCCCCCAAATCCCCCCCCTTTCCCCCCCATTTTACCCCCCCTTTTCCTTTCAGTTCAATTCCTTTGTGGATTCATGGTGGCTTTTTTTCTTTCTTTTTTTTACGGTCCCCGAGGTTCCCCCACATCCCACACCCCAAAATAAATAATTGTGATCCTGAAATAAGACTGTGATCCTGAAAACAAAAACAGCTGAGAAACCAAACCCTTTGGCTGATCAGAGCACAATCTTTATCCAAGTTCAAATCCCTGGTTTCTGTTTCTAACCCTGTTTTGTTTCTCGCTCTGTGGCAATAAATTAATAATAAATTCCACCCCCCTCGCCACTCAGAGCCTGTTCTGCCCCTGCAAGGGAATCCATCACCGACCACTCCCAGCCCTTCTCTCCACTCCTCAACCCCCCAGCTGTTTTTTTTTTCCCTCTCCACCCCCCCTGAGGTGGCAGATTAAAGAAATGCCCCCAACCCGATGATTTTTGGTGACTGGGTTTGACTCTACTGGGTCACCCTCAGAGCTCGGGACCCCCACCCAGCACTTTGGAGTTGCTGGGAGAGGTTGAGGACACTGGAAATTGTTTGCAGGAGGGTGGGGGCGTATCCAGGGCACTTAAGAGGCTTTTGGGGCCGTTGTGGCTGGTTTAGGAGTGGTCTAAGGGGGCTTTGGGGCGCTTTAGGGATGGGGGACAGTTTAGGGGTTTGGGGGCAGCTTGTGGGGTGTCAGGGCAAGGTGGGACTTGTTTGGGAGGAAGGGGGTTTAAGAGGCATTTAAGGCAGTTGGGGCTTGTTTAGGGGCTGGGGTGATTTAGGGGGCTGGGGTGATTTAGGGGGCTGGAGTGGTTTGAGGGCTTTGGAGCAGTTCAGGGGATGGGGACAATTCAGGGGGCTGAGGTGGTTTAGGGGGGCTTTGGAGCAGTTCAGGGGACGAGGGACAGTTTAGGGGGCTTGGAGTGGTTTGGAGGGGGAATTTGGGGGGGGCTTTAAGCGACATTTGGGTCACTTTTGGCTTAATTAGGAAAATTCGGGGCTCTCTCTGTGGGCCCTTCGGCCAAGATGGCGGCGCCCGTCGCTCCAGAGCCAAGATGGCGTCTCCCTCAGTGCGTTACGGGCGCCGCCATCTTGGTACGGCGGCCGCGGCGGGCCCTGCGGCGCCGGCCGCGCAGGCGCGGCGCGGGGCGGGAAGATGGCGGCGTCCTCGCTGGAGCAGAAGCTGTCGCGGCTCGAGGCGAAGCTCAAGCAGGAGAACCGCGAGGCCCGCAGGAGGATCGACCTCAACCTCGACATCGGGCCCGCCCGCGCCCGCCCCAGTACGGCGGCACCGGGGAGGCGGGAACCGGCCGGGAAACGAGCGGGGGAGGCCGCGGTGAGGGAGGGGAGACCCTGAGGGGGCTGAGGGAGTGGGGGGGCTCAGGGGGTGTTTGGGGGCTGAGGGGGTGGGGGGGCTCAGGGGGTGTTTGGGGGAGGTTGGGGGGGTTTAGGACGGGCGGGGCGTTTGGAGCCGTTGTGGCTCGTTTTGGGGGGATCGAGGGTACTTCGGGGGCTTAGGGTCAGTTTGGGGGGATCAGGGGAGCGTTTGGGGCCGTTGTGGCTCGTTTTGGGGAGTTTGGGCAGTTTGGAGGGGCTTAGGGGCAGTTTGGGGGTTCAGGGCATTTGGGGCAGTTGGGGCTTGTTTTTGGGGGTGGGGGCAGTTTGGGGGATTAGGATACTTAGGGGAGCTTGAGGGGCGTTTGGGGCTCTAGAAGCATTTGGGGCAGTTGGGGCTGGATTAGGGTGATTTGGGGCTCTTTTGGAGGGTTGGGGGCCCTTCAGGGGATTTAGGGCAGTTGGGGCTTCTTTAGGGGTTTGGGGGCGAGTTTAGAGGGTTTTGGGAGGCAGTTTAGGGTTTTGGGGGCGTTGTTGCGTGGTTGGTGGTTTGAGGGCAATTTAGGGGGTTTGAGGGGCGCTTGAGGGGCATTTTTGGGGTGGATTGGGACTCGTTGAAAGGGCTTTGGGGCCGTTTAGGGTCAATTTGGGGCAGTTGGGACTGTCTGGGGGACAGTGCTGGGGTTTAGGGGAGTTGAGGGGTGTTGGGGGAGGGCTGGGGCGGTTTGGGGGAGCATTTGGGGGCAGATTGGGCTTTTTAGGGGCTCTGAGGCTGCTTTAGGGGGATCTGGGGGTGGCTTAGGGGTGTCTGGGGGCAGTTTGGGAGGATTTGGGGTGATTTAGGGTGATTTTGGGGGGATTTAGGGGCAGTTTGGGAGGATTTGGGGGCTGTTTGGGGTGTTGGAGTCACTTTGGGTGGTTTTGGGGTGATTTTGGGGGTGTTTGGGGATTTGGGAGGATTTGGGGTGGGTTTGGGTGGATTTGGGGTGGGTTTGGGTGGATTTGGAGGAGTTTGAGGGCAGTTTGGGGGATTTGAGGGGCAGTTTGGGAGGGTTTGAGTGATTCTGGGGGATTTGGGGGCAGTTTGGGAGGATTTGGGGGCTGTTTGGGGGTTGGAGGCACTTTGGGTGGTTTGGAGTGATTTTGGGGGTGTTTAGGGGATTTGGGGTGGGTTTGGGTGGATTTGGGGTGGGTTTGGGGGCAGTTTGGGAGGGTTTGGGTGATTTGGAGGGATTAGGGGCAGTTGGGGTGGATTTTGGGGCAGTTTGGGAGGGTTTGGGTGGTTTTGGGGTGATTTTGGGCGTGTTTGGGGATTTGGGGGATTTGGGAGGCGGTTTGGGTGGATTTGGGGTGGATTTGGGGGCAGTTTGGGGGGTTTGAATTGGGGGCTCGGGGGCTCCTGGGGGTGGGAGGAGGAGATTGGGGGTTACTGGGAGCACTGGGGGCGTACTGGTGCTGTACTGGGGGTGACTGGGGGCACTGGGGCTGTACTGGGGGTGACTGGGGGGCACTGGGGCTGTACTGGGAGCACTGGGGGAGCACTGGGGCTGTACTGGGAGCACTGGGGCTGTACTGGGGGTGAGTTGGGGAGCCCTGGGGCTGTACTGGGAGTGACTGGGGGGGCACTGGGGCTGTACTGGGAGCACTGGGGCTGTACTGGGAGCACTGGGGCTGTACTGGGGGTGACTGGGGGCCCTGGGGCTGTACTGGGAGGGCACTGGGGCCATACTGGGCCCAGCCCAGCAATGTGGGGAGCCCTGGGGGTTTTGGGGGGTCTCCCCAAATCAGCCCCCAGGACCCTTTTGGGGGTCCCACCCTCAGGTAGGACCATTTTGGGGAGTGCCCCCCAGTGCCCACTGCCAGCCTGTCCCTCCCATCCCAAGGATAATCCCAGATTTTCCAGCCCCCCAAATCCCCTTTCCCCCCCATTTTATCCCCCACTTTTCCTTTCAGTTCGATTCCTTTTGTGATTTATGGTGGTTTTTCTTTCTTTTTTTTATTTTTATCATTTCCCCCTTTTTTTTTTCTCCTGGTTTTTATTTTTCCACCCCCGACCCCCCTCCTCGTGCCCCTCCCCACGACCCCCCAAAATCCAGTCATCGTCATCACCCTTAGTCCTGCTCCCGCTCCGTCCCAACGAGCAGGTACCACCCCTCACCCCCTGACCCCCCTGCTGCTTGGGACCCCCCTCTAACTCAGGGACCCCCAAAAAATTGGGGCCCTCCTCTCATTTAACACCCCCTTTTCCTCAGTTTCCCCTTGGATGGAGCAGCTTTGACCCCCCTTCCTTGGCTGCCTCCCTGTGCCCCTCCCACCTTCGAGGACCCGCCCCAAAAAATTTGAGTTCCCCTTCACATTTTAACCCCCCACCCAAAAATTTGGGCCCCTCCTCACCTTTAACCCCCTTTCCCTCAGTTTACCCCTGGATGGAGCAGCTTTGACCCCCTCCATGGCTTTGACCCCCTGTGCCCCCTCCCCACTTTGGGAGACACCCCCAAAAATTTGGGAACTCCCCCTACATTTTAAACCCCCTTCTGAAAAATTTTGAGCCCCTCTTCACTTTTAACCCCCCCAAATTTGCCCCCACCTTTAACCCCTTTTCCTCAGTTCCCCCTGGATGGAGCAGCTTTGACCCCTCCCTGGCTTTGCCCCCTCTGGAATGTCCCCTTTGGAATGTCCCTCTGGAATGTGTCCCCCTCCGTGTCCTCCCGCGGCTGTGGCATGGAGTGCTGACCCCTGACCGCGGAGCATGCGGCCGGCACTGGGAATACTGGGAATACTGGGAATGGTGGGAATGGGGAGGGGATTGGGAAAATTGGGAGAAATGGGGGGGAAATGAGAAAGAAAATGGGGGGAACGAGGGAAAAGGGGAAGGGAAGGAAGGAACGGGGGGGGAGAAATGGAGGAAAAGTGGGAAAAATGGAGCGGGAAAATGGGGAGGAAGGGGGGAGATGGTGGGGTGGGAATGGGGGAAGGAGGAAAGGGGGGTTGGGGAGGAAAAGGGAAAATGGGGCAGGAAAAGGGCAAAGAGAGGTGGGAAGGGGGGCAGGAATTTGGGGGGGCCTGACTTCTCCCCCAACTCCCCCAATTTGGGGTCATGACCCCCGTGTGCCCCCAATTTGGGGTCGTGGGCCCCATGTCCCCCCCAGTTTGGGGTGGTGCCCCCAGTTCGGGTGGTGCCCCCAGTTTGGGGTTGTGACCCCCCCCCGTGTCCTCCCAAATTCAGGGTCATGACCCCTGTGTCTCCCCCCAGTTTGGGGTGGTGCCCCCCCAGTTTGGGGCCGTGTCCCCCCAGTTCGGGGTGGTGCCCCCCCAGTTCGGGGTGGTGACCCCCCCGTGTCTCCCCCAGCTCTGCAGCTGCCCCTGGTGAGCGAGGGGGCCGGGGGCCCCAGAGCCCCCAGCCCGCGCCCCCGGCCCCGCCACATGCTGGGACTGCCCCCACCCCCCTTCCTGGGGCCCCGCAGCGGAGACAGGTGAGGACACACCCCCAAAACCCTTTGGCCACGCCCCCAAAACACATTGACCACACCCCTAAACCCCATTGACCACGCCCCCCAAACAACATTGACCATGCCCCCCAACCCCCATTGACCACACCCCCAAAACCCCATTGACCACACCCACCAAACCCCATTGACCACGCCCCCAAACCCCATTGGCCACGCCCCCAAACCCTCATTTACCACACCCCGAAAACCCCTTGACCACACCCCCGAAACCTCATTGGCCACACCCCTAAACCCCATTGGGTGGGTGGCGTGAGGGTCTGCACTGATTGGATGGAGGGGCGGGGGAGGGAGTGTCTCGTGCTCTGATTGGTCAGAGCTCCGGGGATTGGGTGTGCTCTGATTGGCCAGAGGATTCTGTGATTCTTCTGATTCAAGGATCCTGTGTTGTGATTGGCCGGAAGGGATGGGGATGATTCTGTGCTCTGATTGGCCAGAGGTCTGGGCGATTCTGTTCTCTTATTGGCTGCAAGTTCAGGGAGCTCCTGTTCTCTGATTGGCCAGAGGTTCAAGGATCCTGTGCTCTGATTGGCCAGAGGTCTAAGGGGATCCCATACTCTGATTGGCTGGAAGTCCAGGGAGATCCTGTGCTCTGATTGGCCAGAGGGGTGGGGTGATCCTGTGCTCTGATTGGCCAGAGCTGCCGGGGGATCGCGTCTCCTGATTGGCCGGGCAGGAGGCTCGTGCTGATTGGTGGATGCACAGGAGTTTGCAGGTGCTGATTGGTCCGAGGTCCAGGGCAATCTTCTGCTGTGATTGGCCAGTGGTCCACAGAGCTTGGCCTCTCATTGGCCAGAGGTGCACCCTGTGCTCTGATTGGCCAGTTGTGTGGGTGTGTCCCTGTGTGCTGATTGACCAGGATCCCACTCTTGTCCTGATTGGCTGGGTTCTCTCCCTGCCCTGCTCTGATTGGCCAGACTTTCCCTGTGGTCTGCTCTGATTGGCTGAGCTCTCCCCATGCCCCATTCTGATTGGTCAGGTTTTCCCTATGCCCCGTTCTGATTGGCCGAGCTCTCCCCATGCCCTGTTCCGATTGGCCGAGCTCTCAACATGCCCTGTTCCAATTGGCTGAGCTCTTCCCATTCCCTGTTCTGATTGGTTGAGTTTTCTCTATGCCCCATTGTGATTGGCTGAGCTCTCCCCATGCCCTGTTCTGATTGGCTGGTCTCTGTTCTTGCCCCCCCAGCATCGAGATTGATCAGAAGCTGCAGGAGATCATGAAACAAACGGGGTACCTGACTGTGGGGGGGCAGGTGAGTCTGGGGGGCACAGGGGGGGCACAGGGAGGGTACCTGACTGTGGGGGGGCAGGTGAGTCTGGGGGGCACAGGGAGGGTACCTGACTGTGGGGGGCAGGTGAGTCTGGGGCGCAGGGGGACACAGGGGGTACCTGACCATGGGGGCACAGGGGTACCTGACCGTGGGGGCACAGGTGAGTGTGGGGGCACAGGGAGTCAGTTGGGTCTGGGGGGTGTCAAGTGAGTCTGGGGGGCACAGGGGCGTCAGGTGAGTGTGGGGGTCCCAGGGGGTCAGGTGGGTGTGGGGGGTTCAGGTGAGGGTGGGGGCCCAGGGGGTCAGGTGGGTGTGGGGGCTCAGGTGAGTGTGGGGGGTCCCAGGGGGTCAGGTGAGCCCGGGGAGTGCCAGGTGAGGGGGAGGGGGCCCGGATGGGACCTGGGCCCCCCTGACCCCCTGTGTGCCCCCAGCGGTACCAGGCCGAGATCAACGACCTGGAGAACCTGGGGGAGATCGGGAGCGGCACCTGCGGGCAGGTGTGGAAGATGCGCTTCCGCAAGACCGGCCACGTCATCGCCGTCAAGGTGGGCACCCCCTCATCAGGGCACCCCCTGGGGCACCCCAGCCCCCAGGGCACCCCCTGCTCAGGAACACCCCTTGGGGCACCCCTGCCCCCCAGGGCACCCCCCCTGCCCAGGACACCCCCTGGGGCACCCCCTGCCCCCCAGGGCACCCCCCCTGCCCAGGGACACCCCTGGGGCACCCCTGCCCCCAGGGCACCCCCTGCCCAGGGACACCCCTGGGGCACCCCCTCACCCTGGGGACACTCCCAGGGTACCCCCTGCCTGGGAGACCCCCTGGGGCACCCCTCTGCCCAGGACACCCCTGGGGCACCCCCTGCCCCCAGGGCACCCCCTGCCCAGGGACACCCCCTGGGGCATCCCCTGCCTGGGACACCCTTCCTGCTCAGGGACACCTCCCAGGGCACCCCCTCATCAGGGCACCCCTGGGGCACCCCCTGCCCCCAGGGCACCCCCTGCCCAGGACACCCCCTGGGGCACCCCCTGCCCCCAGGGCACCCCCTGCTCAGGGACACCCCTGATAAGAGCACCCCCTGGGGCACCCCTGCCTGGGACACCCCTGGGGCACCCCTGTCCTGGGGACACCCCCAGGGCACCCCCACTCTGGGGACAACCAAGGAAACCCCCAGATACCCCCTCCTGCTTGGGGACATCCCCAGCACCCCCTTCACCCTGGGGACACCCAAGGACACCCCTCAGCCTGGGGACAGCAGAGTGACCCCATAGACCCCCCCAGTCACCCCCTGGGGACAGGAGAGTGACCCCACAGCCCACCCCAGTCACCCCCTGGGGAAAGCAGAGTGACCCCACAGCCCACCCCAGTCAACCCATGGGGACAGCAGGGGACACCCATGGACACCCCAACCCCCCCCCGTGGCCACTGGGATGACCCCCATGGACACTGGGATGACCCCCAGTCCCCCTGAGCCTTCCCAACCCAGGGGACAGTGTGGTGATCCCCATGGATCCCTCTGATCCCACTCACCCCTGGGGACACTGGGGTGACCCTGAGGGACACTGGGATGACCCCTGACCCCCCATGGACGCTGGGATGACCCCCATGGACCCTGGGATGACCCCTAACCCCCCTCATGGACACTGGGATGACCCCCCTGGACCCTGTGATGACCCCTGACTCCCCCTGGACCCTGTGATGACCCCTGACCCCCCCTGGCCCCTGCAGTGACCCCTTTCCCTCCCCCCAGCAAATGCGGCGCTCGGGGAACCGCGAGGAGAACAAGCGGATCCTGATGGACCTGGACGTGGTGCTGAAGAGCCACGACTGCCCCTACATCGTGCAGTGCTTCGGCACCTTCATCACCAACGTGAGACCCCCGGGCTGGGGGCACCTGGGGGGTCCTGGGAGCACCTGGGGGCTGGGGGCACCTGGGGGGCACCTGGGGGCTGGGGGACATCGTACAGTGTTTCGGCACCTTCATCACCAACGTGAGACCCCTGGGCTGGGGGCACCTGGGGGCTGGGGAGACACATGGGGAACACCTGGGGGCTGGGGCTACCCTACATCGTGCAGTGCTTCGGCACCTTCATCACCAACGTGAGACCCCTGGGCTGGGGGGCACCTGGGGGCACCTGGGGGCTGGGGGCACCTGGGTGGCTGGGGGGACACCTGGGGGCTGCCCCTACATCGTGCAGTGCTTCGACACCTTCATCACCAATGTGAGACCCCGGGCTGGGGGCACCTGGGGGCACCTGGGGGCTGGGGGCACCTGAGGGGCTGGGGACATTTGAGGGCTGCCCCTACATCATGCAGCGCTCGGCATCTTCATCACCAGTGTGAGACCCCGGGCTGGGGGGCACCTGGAGGGACCTGGGGGCTGGGGGGACACCTGGGAGTCTGAGGGGACATCGTGCAGTGCTTTGGCACCTTCATCACCAACGTGAGGGGGCACTGGGGGCACCTGGGGGCTGGGGGCACCTGGGAGGCGTCTGGGGGCTGGGGGCACCTGAGGGCTGGGGACATGTGAGAGCTACCCTACATCATGCAGTGCTTCGGCACCTTCATCACCAACGTGAGACCCCCGGGCTTGGGGGCACCTGGGGGGCACGTGGTGGGCACCCTGTGCCCTCAACACCCCTGTGCTCCCCCAAACCCCCAACACCCCCTGTGCCTCAACCCCCGTGCCCCCAGACCCCCAACGCCCCCTGCTCCCCAGACCGACGTGTTCATCGCCATGGAGCTCATGGGCACCTGCGCCGAGAAGCTCAAGAAGCGCATCCAGGGCCCCATCCCCGAGCGCATCCTGGGCAAGATGACGGTGGCGGTGAGTGGGGGGCTCTGAGGGGTCTGGGGGCTCTGGGGGTCAGAGGCACTGATGGGTCCCCCTGCAGATCGTGAAGGCGCTGCTGTACCTGAAGGAGAAGCACGGGGTGATCCACCGGGACGTGAAGCCCTCCAACATCCTGCTGGACGAGCGGGGCCAGGTCAAGCTCTGCGACTTCGGCATCAGCGGCCGCCTCGTCGACTCCAAGGCCAAGACCCGGAGCGCTGGGTGTGCTGCCTACATGGCGGTGGGTGCTGGGGGGATTTGGGGTCTGGGGGCTTTGGGGGCTCAGGGAGCTGGGGAGCTGGGGGTTCAGGGGGCTCAGGGGTGACTCCAAGGCCAAGACCCGGAGTGCTGGGTGTGCTGCCTACATGGCGGTGGGTGCTGGGGGCTCTGGAGGGGTCTGGGGGTCCTGGGGGTGGCTGGGGAGCTGGGGGACTTTAGGGGGCTCAGGGGGACTTTAGGGGGTCAGGGGGCTGGGGAGTCAGGGAGGCTGGGGGATCAGGGGGTGACTCCAAGGCCAAGCCCAGGAGTGCTGGGTGTGCTGCCTACATGGTGGTGGGTCCTGGGGGCTCTGGGGGCTCAGGGGGCTTTGGGGGTCTGGGGAGCTGAGGGGGTCAGGGGCACAGGGGTGACTCCAAAACCAAGACCCAGAGGCGGGGTGTGCTGCTGACAGGGCAGTGGGTGCTGGGGGTTTTAGGGGTCAGGGGTATGGGGGCTTTGGGGGTCTGGGGGATGAGGGGGTCAGGGGGCACAGGGGGTGACGCCAAGGCCAAGACCAGGAGTGGTGGGTGTGCTGCTGATAGGGTGGGGGTCGGGGGACTGTGGGGGCTTTGGGGGCCTGGGGGTCTAGGGGTCAAGGGGCTTTGGGGGTCAGGGAAGGATGAGGGGGTCAGGGGGCACAGGGGGTGACTCCAAGGCTCAGATCAAGAGTGCTGGGTGTGCTGCTGACAGGGTGGGGGGTCCTGGGGGACTTTGGGGGCGTCTGGGGGGGCTCAGGGACCCAGGGATGAAGGTCCAGGGGTGACTCCCTGAGGCCCCCAGTGCCGACTGTGCCGATGGGGCGGGGGGTCCTCGGGTAGCCCCAGTGCCCCCAGTTTGGGGATTCCCCCCCGTGCTCTGGGGGTGCTGAGGGTGCACCCCCATGTTTGGGGGGTTTTGGGGGTGCTGAGGGCCCCCCCCATGTTTGGGGGGTTCTGGGGGTGCTGAGGGTCCCCCCCACCGTTTTTTGGGGGTGTTGAAGGTCCCCCCCCAGTTCTTTTAGGGGTGCTGTGCATTCCCCCCCTATGTTTTGGGGGGTTCTGGGGTGCTGTGGATCCTCCCCCATGTTTTGGGGTGGGGGGATGCTGTAGGTCCCTCCCCAGTTTTTTCAGGGGTGCTGTGTCCCCCTGTTTTTGGGGTGCTGTGGGTGCTCCCCCGTGTTTTGGGGTGCAGGGGAGTGCTGTGGGTCCCCCCGTGTTTTGGGGTGCTGTGTGTCCCCCCCATGTTTTGGGGTGCAGGGGAGTGCTGTGGGTCCCCCCCAGGGATTTTTTGGGGTGCCGTGTGTCCACCCCATGACTTGGGGGTCCTGGGGGTGCTGAGGGTCCCCCCTCCATGTTTTTGGGGTACTGTGTGTCCCCCCCCATGTTTTGGGGTGCTGAGGGTCCCCCCACATATTTTGGGGGTGTCCCCCGATGCCCCCCAGTTTTGGGTGCTGTGTACCCTCCCCATGTTTTGGGGGTTCTGAGGGTGCTCTGTGTCCCCCTCATGTTTTGGGGTGCCCTGTGTACCCCCCACGTTTTGGGGTGCTCTGTGTCCCCCCATGTTTTGGGGTGCTCCGTGTGTGTCCCCCCCATGTTTTGGGGTGCTCTGTGTCCCCCCCACCATGTTTTGGGGTGCTCTGTGTCCCCCCACATTTTGGGATACTCTGTGTGTCCCCCCCCACGTTTTGGGGTGCTCTGGGTCCCCCCCATGTTCGGGGGTCCCCCCTGAGTGCCCCCCTGTCCCCCCAGCCCGAGCGCATCGACCCCCCCGACCCCACCAAGCCCGACTACGACATCCGGGCCGACGTGTGGAGCCTCGGCATCTCCCTGGTGAGGCCCCACGGGCCCCAAGGGTCCCCAAGGTGTCCCCAAGGGTCCCCAAATGTCCCCAATGTGTCTCCACTGTGTCCCCAAATGTCCCCAAGGTGTCCCCAATGTGTCCCCATGGTGTCTCAAAGTGTCCCCAATGTGTCCCCAAATGTCCCCAAGGGTCCCCAGGGTATCCCCAAGTGTCCCCATGGTGTCCCCAAGGTGTCCCCATGCTGTCCCCAGGGTGTCCCCAAGGGTCCCCAGGGTGTCCCCATGCTGTCCCCAGGGTGTCCCCATGATGTCCCCAAGGTGTCCCCAGGGTATCCCCAAGTGTCCCCAACTGTCCCCAAGGGATCCCCAAGTGTCCCCAAGTGTCCCCACGCTGTCCCCACGCTGTCCCTAAGGTGTCCCCAGGGTATCTCCAAGTGTCCCCCAGGTGTCCCCAAGGTGTCCCCAAGTGTCCCCAAGGTGTCCCCAAATGTCCCCAATGTGTCCCCAAGTGTCCCCAGGGTCCCCAGGTCGAGTTGGCCATGGGACAGTGTTCCCAATGTCCCCAATGATGTCCCCAGTGTCCCCAATGATGTCCCCAATGTCCCCATGTCCCCAGGTGGAGTTGGCCACGGGGCAGTGTCCCCAATGTCCCCAATGATGTCCCCAATGCTGTCCCCAGGTGGAGTTGGCCACAGGGCAGTGTCCCCAATGTCCCCAATGTCCCTGTCCCTGTCCCCAGGTGGAGTTGGCCATGGGGCAGTGTCCCCAATGTCCCCAATGCTGTCCCCAGGTGGAGTTGGCCACGGGGCAGTGTCCCCAGTGTCCCCAATGATGTCCCCAATGTCCCTGTCCCTGTCCCCAGGTGGAGTTGGCCATGGGGCAGTTCCCGTACCAGAACTGCAAGACGGATTTCGAGGTGCTGACGAAGGTGCTGCAGGAGGACCCCCCCCTGCTGCCCCCGGCCATGGGCTTCTCCGGGGACTTCCAGGCCTTTGTCCGAGACTGGTGGGTCAGGGGGACATGGGGGAGGTAACAGGGACGTGAGGGGGTCACAGGGACATGGAAGGGTCACAGGGACATGGGGGGGTCACAGGGACTCGGGGGAGACACAGGGTCACAGCAGGGTCACAGGGACATGGGGAGGACACGGGGGGGACAGGGGGACACAGCCCAGGGGGTCCCCAGGGTGCTGACACCCCCCTGCCCCCCCCGCAGCCTCACCAAGGACCACAGGAAGAGACCAAAGTACAACAAGTTACTGGTGAGTATCAGTGTCCCCTGTCACAGTGTCCCCGTGTCCCCCTGTCACAGTGTCCCCCTGTCATCTGTGTCCCCTGTCTCAGTGTCCCCTGTCACAGTGTCCCCTGTCCCGTGTCCCCCTGTCCCCTTTCGCCTGCAGTGTTCCCTGTGTCCCCTGTCACTGTGTCCCCCATCACCTGTAGCGTCCCCTGTGTCTTGCTGTCCCCTGTGCCCCCTGTGTCCCCTGTCAGCTGCAGTGTCCCCCTGTCTCCTGTGTCCCCTGTCAGAGTCCCCCTGTTCCTGCTCACGCTGTCCCTGTCCCCACAGGAGCACACCTTCATCAAGCACTGTGTCCCCCCTGTGTCCCTGCTGTCCCCCCCTGTCCCCTGTCCTTGTCCCCTGTCCCTGTCCCCTGTCCCATGGCTGTCCCTGTCCCCACAGGAGCACACCTGTATCAAGCACTGTGTGTGTCCCTGTCCCTGTCCCCTGTCCCCTCATGTCCCCTGTCCCCACAGGAGTACACCTTCATCAAGCACTGTGTGTGTCCCTGTCCCTGTCCCCACAGGAGCACACCTTCATCAAGCACTGTGTCTGTCCCTGTCACCTGTCCCTGTCCCTGTCCCCACAGGAGCACACCTTCATCAAGCACTGTGTCCCCCATGTCCCCTGTCCCTGTCACCTGTCCCCACAGGAGCACACCTTCATCAAGCACTGTGTCCCCCATGTCCCCTGTCCCTGTCCCCACAGGAGCACACCTGTATCAAGCACTGTGTCCCCTGTCCCTGTCCCCTGTCCCTGTCCCCTGTCCCATGGCTGTCCCTGTCCCCACAGGAGCACACCTTCATCAGGCACTGTGTCCCCTGTCCCCTGTCCCTGTCCCCACAGGAGCACACCTTCATCAAGCACTGTGTGTGTCCTGTCCCTGTCCCTGTCCCCTCATGTCCCCTGTCCCCACAGGAGCACACCTTCATCAAGCGCTACGAGACGCTGGAGGTGGACGTGGCCTCCTGGTTCAAGGACGTGATGGCCCGGACAGAGTCCCCCCGCCCGGGGGGGGCCCTGGGCCAGCACCACCTGCCCTTCTTCACCAGGTAGCGCCAGCGGGGACGGGGACACCGCTGGGACACCGGCCTGGGACGGGGACACCGCTGGGGACACCGGCCTGGGACATGGGGACACTACTGGGACACCGGCCTGGGACATGGGGACACCGCTGGGGACACTGTCCTGGGACATGGGGACACCGCTGGGGACACTGTCCTGGGACATGGGGACACCGCTGGGACACCGGCCTGGGACATGGGGACACTGTCCTGGGATGGGGACACTGTCCTGGGACATGGGGACACTGTCCTGGGATGGGGACACTACCCTGGGATGGGGACACTGTCCTGGGACATGGGGACATTGTCCTGGGACAGGGACACAGGGACACTGCCCTTGGACACTGTCCCGGGACAGGGACACTGCTGGGGACACCCACCTGTGACACTGCTCTGGGACAGTGACACCTGGGACACCCCCTGGGTCACCCCTGGGACACCCCCTGGGACTGTGACACCCACCCAGGCCCAGGACACCCCCTGTGACACCTGAGACACCCCCCTGTGACACCTCCTGGGCTGGAACACCCCCATGTGACACCCCCTGGGACACCCCAAGGTGACCCCCACGGCCCCGGCAGCCACACGGACACGCGTGACGTGGCGTGTCCCAGGACATAGCGGTGTGTCCCAGCGTGTCCTGGGACATCCCACTATGTCCCAGTGTGTCCCAGCGTGTCCCAGTGTGTCCCAGCATGTCCCAGCATGTCCTGGGACATCCCAGGGTGTCCCCAGTGTGTCCTGATGGAACCTGGCACCACGTGGACCCTGCTGTGTCCCAGCACGTCCCAGCACGTCCCAGTATGTCCCAGCGTGTCCGAGCGTGTCCTGGGACATCCCAGCGTGTCCCAGCGTGTCCCCCCCGGTGTCCCCCTGTCCCCAGTGCCGGGGGACACCCCTGTCCCCTCCGTGTCCCCTCTGTGTCCCCTCCATGTCTCCTGGGCATGGCCTCAGTGTCCCCAGGAGCCCGAGCGGGGCCAGGGCCGGGGCCAGGCCGGGAGGTGACCCTGGGTGTGACACGAGGACAGGAGGTGGCCCCGGGTGTGACACGAGGACAGGAGGTGGCCCCGGGTGTGACACGAGGACAGGAGGTGGCCCAGGACACGAGGACAGGAGGTGACCCCGGGTGTGACACGAGGACAGGAGGTGGCCCAGGACATGAGGACAGCGGGACGTGGCCCAGGGACACACGGACAGGGCGTGTGACACCGATGTGGCACCGGGGGGGTTGGGGATGAGAGGGGACGAGGACACTGAGGGGACACTGAGGGGACACTGAGGGGACACTGAGGGGTGAGGAGGTGGCACCGCCGTGACGAGGGGACACGGCCCGGAGGAGGCACTCGGGGACACGGAGGTGGCATCGGAGATGGCACTCGGGGACATGGACGTGGCACACGGAGGTGGCATCGGAGATGGCATCGGAGATGGCACACGGGGACATGGACGTGGCACACGGAGGTGGCACATGGAGATGGCATCGGAGATGTCACGGGAACAGGGATGTGACACCGAGGGACAGCGCTGGGGACACGAAGGACAGCACCAGGATGTGACACACGGGACACAGCGCGGAGGTGGCACCAGGCAAGTGACACGGGGGACGTGGCACGGAGAGGGGACACGGGAGTGGCACCAGGATGTGACACAGAGACATGGGACAGAGATGGCACCGGGATGTGACATGGAAATGGCACTGGGATGTGACACACAGGGATGGCACCAGGACAGGACACAGATGGCACCGAGAAGTGACATAGAAATGGCACGAGGACATGGCACAGGACAGGGATGGCACCGGGATGTGACACAGAGACACCGAGAAGTGACGTGGAAACGGCACCAGGACGGGACACAGAGATGGCACCAGGACGTGGCAGGGGACAGAGGTGGCACCAGGCTGTGACAAAGGACACAGAGATGGCACCAGGATGTGACACGGGGACACAGGACAGAGATGGCACCGAGAGGTGACATGGAAATGGCACCTGGATGTGACACAGGGATGGCACCAGGACGACACAGATGGCACCGGGATGTGACATGGGAATGGCACCTGGATGTGACACAGTGATGGCACTGGAATGTGACACAGGGATGGCACCAGGACGGGACACAGGGCACAGATGGCACCGGGATGTGACATGGGAATGGCACCGTGATGTGACACAGGGATGGCACCAGGACAGGACACAGATGGCACCGGGATGTGACACAGGGATGGCACCAGGACATGGCAGGGGACAGAGATGGCACCGGGATGTGACAAAGGACACAGAGGTGGCACCGGGACAGAGGTGGCACCGGGTGTGACACGGGGACACGGAGCAGGGGGCGGGGTCAGGCCCGGGGGACACGCCCAGACGTGTTTGGGGACAGGGTGACAATCAGGGGTGGGGCCGCCTCGCTGCCGTGTCCCCTCCTCGTGTCCCTCCCTGTGTCCCCTCCCCGTGTCCCCTCCCCCGTGTCCCCCGGGTTGTCGTGCATGGGGCGTGAGGCGCTCGCCCCTCCTCACCCCTCATTATTATTATTATTAATTATTATTATTAATTATTATTATTATTATTATAAATGCGCATGTGGAACCCCAGGGCCGTGTCGGAGTCAGGATCTGGGACGTGGGGACAGCGGGGACATTGAGGACATGGGGACATTGGGGACGTGGGGACAGCGGGGACAGGGGGAATGGGGACATTGAGGACATGGGGACATTGGGGACATGGGGACAGTGGGGACGTGGGGATGGGGCTTTGGGGACACTGGGGACACCTGAGCCATTGATTTGGGGTCATGGGGAGGGGGACGGGGACACGGAGGTTTTGGGGACAGGGTGACAAGGACACCGCGATGGGGCCGGGGGTGGAGGGGGCACAGGGACACGGGGTGGGGGTGGCAGAGATGGACACGGGGGACACTGGGGACAGGAGAGAGGACAGGAGAGGGACAGTGGAGGGTGGGGACACGTGGCTGGGGGAGGGGGACATCGGGGACATCGATTTGGGGACGTTGGGGACAGGGATGGGGATCGGGGGACAGGGAGGGACATGGGGAGATGAGGGGTGGGGACAGGGGACACCGAGGACATCAAGGACATGAGGGTGGGAGGGCGATGGGGACACGAGGGGGACACGGGGAGTTGGGGACAGGGGGACACTGGGGGACACAGGGAGTGGGGGACATCGGGGACAGGTGAAGGATCCAGGTGACACGGGGGACATCGGGGACAAGCGGGACATCGGGGACAGGTGAAGGATCCAGGTGACACGGGGACATCGGGGACACGGGGGGTGGGGACGGGGGAGGATCCAGGTGACACTGAGGGAGGGGGGACACGGGGAGGGGGACGTCGAGGGCACGTGGGGCGGGGGGACAGGAGGGACCCTGGGCCACCTCAGGGACACGCGGGGGTGTCCGGGCCTCCCTGTGACGTCACTGCCGCCCAAGGGGTGTCACCGGGGCGACGGTGACCTCGGGGGACACTTGGGACACTCCCCTCCTCGGGGCGGTGACCTCGGGGGACACTGGGGACATCCCCTCCTCGGGGCGGTGACCTCGGGGGACACGGGACACCCTCCCTCGGGGCGGTGACCTCGGGGGACACGGGACACCCTCCCCTCGGGGGCGGACCTCGGGGACACTGAGGACACCCTCCCCTCGGGGACACGGGACACCCTCGGGGGTGGGCCGGGCCGCGCCGGGGACACGGCGGGACCCGCGGGGACACGGGGGACACGCGGGGACCCCCGATGGCACCGCCGTGGAGCCCTCTGGCCCCCCAAATCATCATCATCATCTTCGGCCTCTTCGTCCTCCTGCCCTGGGGGCCCTGCAGGTTTGGGGTCCTGGGCGCTTGGGGGTCCTGGGGTCCCGGTGTTTGGGGGACACAAGGGAGTCCAGGGTGTGTGGGGGTCAGGTGGATTCCACGTGGCCAGGGGGTTGACTGGGGGTCCGGGGAGGGGGCAGGGAGGGGGTGTCCCAGGTATTGGGGGTCACGGGGTCTCAGGGGTCTCAGGGTGCGTGAGGGGGCCATGGGGGAGACTAAAGTGTCCAAAGGGGGGAACAGGGGCCATGGGGGGCCTGAGGGGGCATGGGGGTCGAGGGGTCATGGGGGGTCCTGGGGCATCATGGGGTCCTGAGGGTCCTGGGGGTCTGGGAGTGTCCCAGGGGCCGTGGGGGTCCGGGGATCATGGGGGTGGTCCTGGAGGGTCATGGGGGTCCTGGGGTCCTGGGCATCACCCAGAGGTGCCGCTGTCCCCAGGGCCCCCGGGCTGGCTGTGGGTGACCCTGAGGGTCTGGGCCTCCGACCTGGCCGCTGCAGCAGGAACCGACCCGGGGTGAGTGGGGGCACTGGGAGGGGAACTGGGAGCGCTGGGGGCGGGAACTGGAGGGGAACTGGGAGGCTGGGAGGTGGAACTGGGAGCACTGGGGGCGGAACTGGGAGCACTGGGGGTGGAACTGGGAGCACTGTGGGGCGGAACTGGGAGCGCTGGGAGGTGGAACTGGGAGCGCTGGGAGGTGGAACTGGGAGCTGGAGGTGGAACTGGGAGCGCTGGGAGGTGGAACTGGGAGCACTGGGGGCGGAACTGGGAGCACTGGGGTGGAACTGGGAGCACTGGGAGCGGAACTGGAGCACTGGGGGCTCTGGGTGTGTGGGAGGGTGGGAGGAGTTCACGCTGGGGCAGTAACTGGGAGCCGTGTGGGGTTACTGGGAGACACCGGGGAGTTACTGGGAGGCGCTGGGGGAAACTGGGAGAACTGCAGGAGTCCTTGGGGCTGAGGGGACTGGGAGCACTGGGAGGGCACTGGGAGGGGGCTCTGGGGACACTGGGAGGGGGCTCTGGGAGCACTGGGAGGGCACTGGGAGAGCACTGGGAGGGGGCTCTGGGAGGCTCTGGGAGGCACTGGGAGGGCACTGGGAGCACTGGTGTGACCCCCTCCCGTCCCCCCAGGCCCGGTGCCCCTCGCCCCCCCCGGCTCCGCTCTGACGTCGCCCTCTCCCGAGTTCCCCTGAACCCCTGGGCCCAGAGCGGTGCCCGCGGGGAGGGTCTTTGTGCAGGTGGGGGGCACGGGGAGGGACACGGGGGGAGGACACGGGACGGGGAGGGGCTTCGTTCAGGTGGGGGCGCGGGAGGGGACGGTCTTTCTGCAGGTGGGGGAACAGGGAGAAACGGAGTTCCCCCCATGGTGACCCCCTGGTGACGTCAGTGGCCCCCGGTCTGCCATCCCCAGTGACCCCCTGTGCCACCCCCGGTTCCCTCCCCTCGATGTCCCCGGTGACCGCCCTGTTCCCCTCCTGACCCCCCAGGTGTCCCTGTCCCAGTGACCCCCCGGTGAATCCCCCCGTGTCCCCAGGTGCCCGGTGACCCCCGTGTCCCCCGCAGGTGTCCCTGTCCCTGTGACCCCCCAGCTGTCCCTGTGACCCCCGTGTCCCCCCCAGGTGTCCCTGTCCCGTGACCCCCCAGGTGTCCCTGTGACCCCCGTGTCCCCCCCCAGGTGTCCCTGTCCCTGTGACCCCCAGGTGTCCCTGTGACTCCCCCGTGTCCCCCCAGGTGTCCCTGTCCCTGTGACCCCCAGGTGTCCCTGTGACCCCCGTGTCCCCCCCCCAGGTGTCCCTGTGACCCCCCTGTGACCCCCGTGTCCCCCCGCAGGTGTCCCTGTGACCCCCTGTGACCCCCCTGTGTCCCCCCAGGTGTCCCTGTCCCTGTGACCCCCAGGTGTCCCTGTGACCCCACCGTGTCCCCCGCAGGTGTCCTGTGACCCCCGTGACCCCCCGTGTCCCCCCGCAGGTGTCCCTGTGACCCCCTGTGACCCCCGTGTCCCCCCCAGGTGTCCCTGTGACCCCCCAGCTGTCCCTGTGTCCCCCGTGTCCCCCCAGGTGTCCCTGTGACCCCCGTGACCCCCCGTGTCCCCCCGCAGGTGTCCCTGTCCCTGTGACGCCCCGTGTCCCCCGGTGTCCCTGTCCCTGTGACCCCCTGTGACCCCCTGTGTCCCCCAGGTGTCCCTGTCCCTTGACCCCCCAGGTGTCCCTGTGACCCCCGTGTCCCCCCCAGGTGTCCCTGTCCCGCGCCCCCCGGGCTGGGTTTCTCGCTCCGCCGCTGTTTTGTGTCCCCCGCTCGTGGCCGGGCCCCCGCAGGCCCCCGGGGCTCGTGGTGCTGCGGGGGCTGCGGGGCGCGGGGGGGCCTGGAGGCCCTGAGGGCCGCGGCGGAGGCTCCTGCTCTCGTTCCTGCTCCCCCCGCGCTTCCCGGAGCCGCTGCAGTTCCTGCACTGCCGACTGCGCCTCTGCCGCGCCGGGGGGGGACACCGCGACCCCAGGAACCCCCGCGACCCCCGGGACCCCCGCGACCCCCGGGACGGGCTCCCGCAGGTACGGGGGGGGCTCCGGGATCCCTGGGACGGGCTCCCGCAGGTAGCGGGGGGGCTGGGAATGGGAATGGGGGGGAACAGGGATCCCCGGGACGGGCTCCCCACGTGGGGTGCTGGGAATGGGAGACACCGGGATTGGGGGATATCGGGAATGGGAGACATCGGGAATGG